TGTGATAAAATCATTAGCAATGTAAGTCAGTCATACTATTGGATTCATAATGACTGGTATTGGCTTTAGCAGAAAGGTTGTGAATAGGATAGGGCTCTCTATCGAGGTGGTCTACCCTTTATCCCGCCACTAACCTCCTTCCGTATTTGTGCCTCAGTATAACATCTTAATTGTAGAGCTGTTTTACAAGCTAATTCAATAATCTGTTCATAGAGCTATTATGTGCACTAAATAATGATTCAGAGAACAGTTATAGAATGTGTCCATAGTTACCTAAAAGCTTATCCATTGATTCACATATCTGTTCCTGACGAACAACTTTCTCATTTGAAAATTTCATTTGTTTTCTTAGTATGAAAGTGCTATTTTTATCACAACTAGGTAATTTTAAAGAGCAGCTGCTTTTGTCTTTTATAGCTCTTGCTCTATGACTCTGTTTAGAGAAATGGAAGTGGCGAGCAGACACATCATCATCATCATCTGAGGATGAAAATTCATCAATAAGCTGAGAGTTACAATCTTCATTTGTTATACAGAGTGGATATGTTTTCTTTAATGTCCTTGGAAAACTATAAAGTTTCCTTTTTTCTTTTTTGCTCTTAAACTTCAATGAACTTTGCCTTCTTATTCTTAACTTGGGGGAAATGTCAATGTCATCAGATTCATCACTAATATCACCAGTGCTTTTTCTTTTCCTAGACTTTAGGGTCATGCCTTCAAGACTTGAGATTTTTGAAATTAATCCATTTCCTGTATCATCAATCCTTCTACCATAACTGTTATTTACTTTTACAGGATTTTCTGTGTGAGAATCTTCAGCTCCATTTAAGGGTAGCATAAACCTTATGCGATTATTAGTAGGGACTCTTTGAGTTGTATACTGTGTGGGAAAGATGATATCACTATCTTCTGATTCTATGTCATTCTGTAAAATGCAATGATGTTCAGCTGTAGTTTCAAAATTTTTCTCATCATTAGACTCAGAAGAAATAATTTGCCCTAAAATCTCTCTTTTATCCAAAACACATTTTTCAATGGAACTTGGGATGCCTTCTGGTTGCTGATGCTCTGAAGTACCAACAGCTACCTGAGTCTGCTGAGAACCAATGTCTTTGGCTTCTGTGATGAGGCACGTGGGCTGCTCATCTGAACTCTCCTCCCCAGAGGCAGAATGTCCATCGCTTGCCTTAACGGCTTTACATGTTGCCTCAAATAATTTAGAGAAACCACACTGGAATAAGGTAGGCTGTCCTGAAAAAGCTGAAGCTTTGCTTGAGTCAGATACTTTGCGTTTAGTGGTCTTTATTCTTGGGGTTTTCACAGACTCTTCAGCACTAAGGTCACTGTACAGTTCACTTCCTGCTGCTGGTACTTGTTGTTCTCCGGGTTCTTCACAGCCAGGCTCTTTGGGCTATGTAAGAAGCAATGGCAGAAAACATCATATTACTGACTCTGTCACACTGGAAGGAAACTGATTTTGGTCAGATAATTTAGATACAAGTACTTAGTATTTTTTAAAAGTACATCTACAATGAATGTAAAGAATTTAATATTAGTATCTGGTATAGTCATTTCTCTTTCCAAAATAAATAAAAGTTCAACCACAGTACTGTATCAAAATCGTTTTTAAGGAAAACATAGTAGGGCGATCAGCTTCTAAGATACAAGGGCCCGTAATTTCAGCCTCAAAAGTGAAAAAATGTATACTACTTATTGCTTAAAAATTACTGGGATTTACTTAGGTGCAGCACATATTTCCAATAATGCTTGAAGAACAATACATATTTACAAGTTAACAAAGTAAAGCACTTATAGGTGCATAATGGATCAAGTTGATTAAAAATAAGTCTAATAGGATCTTAACCATTAGAAAATATTCATTTGAAGTAAAATTTGCAACATATGTAAGCCCAATATTTAATTTTTTCAACATCCATCAGAGTAATATCTTGAGGGTTCCTATAACTGAGAACTAATAGTAAAATTCTTTGGGAAAGTGTTATCTAGTGATATTTCTGCTAACATTTGACATTCATATATTTCAATAAAATTTTTTAAAATTTTTTTGTGTTTTTAAGACAGGGTTTCACTCTGCAGTACCAGCTGGCTTTGAACTCACTGTGTAGTTCAGGCTAACCTCAAACCTGCAGCAATCCTTCTGCCTCAGCTTCCTGAGTGCTGGTATTACAGGTTTGTACCACCACACCTGACATAAAAAGTATTCAATTCAAATTCAAGATCATTGGGCTGGAATGAATTTATAGGTTAATCTGTGTTATGGCTTATGTTTAGATGTCCCCTCATAAGTAGGGTTTTTCAGAGGTGGTTGAATTTGTCAAGTGTCATACTGGGATACCGCCCTTCCTAGGGTGTGAGTGCCATCCACCCTTACAGTGAAATATAAGGGACAGAAAGAGAGTTATTGTGGTTGCTTGTACCTTGTTGCATGCTCCTGCTACTGCTAGTCGTCTGTCTGTTGCCTCTTACCTGTTCTGTGATACCCCTCTGACATGCCAGCCCGCCTTAGAGCCAGCTGATTATGGACTGAAACCTCTACAAACCATGAGCTAAAAAAAACCTTGGGTGTTGGGTATTTTGTCTCAGAAATTTAGAAAAGTAATTAAGACAATCTCTACCAAACAAACAAACAAACAAACAAAAAAACTGGTAATAAACCTTGTACATGTCTTTTACCTCTAAAAAGATCTTAGGATGACGATATACATTTTGTGGTATGTAAGGTGAGCAGCTACTAAATACAAGATCAAGGACTCAAATGAAATACATTATCTGCATTGATTCAAAGAATGATTATACACAATGATGGCTATTTTTCCATTTAATTTGCCTTTTAGTTATTTTTTTGGGTTGGGTTGGTCACCTATATGGTGCATTTAATGTTTGATTTAGAGCTTGATGTGGTTAAAACTCCAGTTAAGATGACTGATCAGCCTGATAACAGCTCCTGAATGTGTTCTTACAATATGGTTATCAAATTGGCATAAATTACTAATGAGTGGACATACTTTGGGTCCTTGATTTTTAAAAAGACTTTTAAAAAAAGATTTATTTTTAACACAGTGAAAAATGGAAAAAAACGAAAAGAAACATAGCACTGTCAGAAGGGAAGTTTTCCTGGCACAGTGGGCTACACACTCAAAACATGACTTACTGTTTTTAGTTCTTGTGCTGGAGGTCCTTCTTTCAACCATGTTGTGGCTGTCATAATCCCTGCTTCTACTTGACCTTCCCTCTACAATGTCAGCAAGAAAATAGGCAAATAACTGTGTACAATGGGGGAAGAGGGATAAAAATAACCAGACAAAGACAGCAATAACATGTTAAGTCTTGGCACTATGAAAGGAAAACTGAGTGTAGCTTACTTTAGCATTCTTTGTATTATTTTTCATTGGATAGTTAAGGAAATCATACACAGTTTTATTCTCAATTCTGGTCTTAAACTTTACTTTTTCAGCCACAGAAAACTAATAGTACTTCCAAACTAATTCTATTAAAGGCACTAGTAAAAGAGGCACAGGAGTGAAAAATGTTATCCATACTAATCATTCCTATGTATTAATTATGGTAAGGACATAGTAGAAACATTTCAAACACCAGAGACAATGGTGAATGTTGGAAAATTGCAATATAACTTACACCACTGATACATTTATCATGCATAGTAGATACGTGGAAACAAAAATGAAAAGGTCTATCTTAATATGAAATTTAAAACACTACTTTAATTACATAACAGGTTTGCTACAAGCCTGAGAAAGACTTTTTATTTTCACTTTTAGGCCTTTGGTACAAATATCCTAAATACTAAAATATAGCCTAAATACTAAGATATTAAATCTTCCTGTCTAAGACTGTATTGGCTAATGTCAGTAGAATAAGGAGAAACAATAATGCCATCACCAGAGTTATAGTGTGCAATTTACACATACACAGATACACTAACAGCATGTTCCAGCCACCTGGTATCCAGGGTAACAAGCGAGAGTCTCTCCTATAAACTTTCAGAGAAGAGCAGGTGCTTTGGCGAATGCTTAGAGGTTCTTTCTGTGCGGAGATGGGAATCTCATCCCAGCACTGCCACTTTCCTCTTCAGCACACACCAAATGGCAATAACAGATGTAATGGGCAGGACCTCCAGCTGAGGAACTCCTTTGTGGTAGTAAATGGCAACTTCAGTCTTCAGTTGCTTAACCATTCATAACTCCTCTTTTTCCCATACCCTGTATGTGATTCATCAACAAATCCCATCTGCTGCTCTTCATAATGGGTGCAGAACTCCATCTACTTTTTATGCAATCTGCCACCATGACCCATGCTCAGCACACCATCATCTCTGTGGTTTCCTAACTGGCTTCTTGCTTCCTCCCTCAAGTCAAATTGTATTAGACTTATATAGTCTAATTCTCAATAGTCAAGGTAATATAAATCAGGCTATGTCTTCTCTTCATAACCATTCAGGTACTTTTAAATAAATAAAAACAAAAGTCAAAATTCTTGCATGGCCCAGCTTCATCTCTTTTTCTCATTTGTCCTCTTCTAGCCTCACTGGCTTTCCAACTCAGAATCAAATATTATGCTTTTTATAATATAAAAACTTAGCAGCATACATCATATAGTGTATAACAGTTCAAATGTTTCCATGGTACAAATAATGTACACCTCCTTCTTTTTCATCAATTGGCCATTTCAACCTACTGTGAACTTGCTTAACATAACATTCCTAATACTGTCTGCTCATTATGTAAATGTCCTCTTCCACCTCCCATCAACATGGTCAAAGTTCCCAAAGTAAAGGGACTAAATTTTTTAAATTTTCTTTATGGTGTTTATTAATTAAATGAATTCCACTACAGTGTTACTATAAAATTCTGGACATCAAGGGAAATAGCCTCATATTCTCCCAGATTCAGTTTTCTCATTTATTTTATAAAGAAACTAAAGAGGATTATTCCAGAACTTCATGAAATCCATACTAATGTCAATTAGAAAAACAAGTTAATAACCTTAGTGCTGTGGTATATAAAGAAATTAAAATTTTTTCAAAAAGATATAAATATCTCATTTGAAAAATAAGAAACATCTGAAATGCTGAAGATGAACACAATGGAAGAGTGTGAAATATTAATGTGGAATTTTTATTTGGAACGGAAAACAAAAATCTCTATGAGACATGAGAATGCATCTGGGGGAATATTTGGTAACTTTTAATCAAAACATTTTACAGTTTTATATTTTAGATTTTTCTGAATTCTTGACTTTAACAGCTGTTTTCAAAATAAACTTCCCTTTGCAACACTGAAAATGGCTCTGGAAGTCCTACTCTTTCATACATGTATCTGTATGTGTGTGTACATTATTTATAACTATGCATGGGAAACCCCTATTTTAGAGGTACAAGGATTCATTTGCTATTTTGCTAAAAGTAAAACATCTAAGCATAGCCATTTTTGGTAAGGAAAACTGATAATTTCTCTGAAATCACCAACAACTAACTCTATGTCAAGTTTCCTAAAGGATAAAACTGTATGTAAAATACTGTACTACTGAAAGGGTCAGAGAGCAATTTCATACCTCCAAGATGTCCCTTGTAAGACAAGATCCTTGAGATCTTAGTGTGAAGAGGTTATAGGCCCCAAAAAGCTCTCCTCGGTGCTCTTTTGATCCTTGAACTGCTTCAAAGTATCGTTTGGCATTTTCACTTCCAACCACCACACAGTGAAGTTGCTAAAACAGAAAAACACAAGATATTTTTGAAGTGTTTGTTCCAACAATATGTCAGAATTTCCTGGCATCCCCTGTATATACACAGCTTTAGCTGGAGAAGGCTAAGATCTCCTTAGGGAGAAAATTTTGTTTTAATTTCCCTGGCAGATGTTGCCATTATGGGGAAATATAACAATAATCTGATCAGTCTTACAGAAGCAGAGATCTTATATTTCCTACTTTATCTGTTTTCTAACAACTAAGTCAAGATTACATTTCCATGGAATATCCACCTGACAAATGTTTAATAATATAAGTGTATATCTGAATAGTTTTCTTAAACTCACTGAACTAGAAACTTAAAAATGGAAGAAACAATGACTGTAACAGTAAAGGTAAATTATATTCCAAAGTAATATAAATAAACATGTTGGTACCATACTAATTGTACCTGATTACAATGTTACTTAATAACAAAAGCCCTATCACTGTGTAGAAGTATAGCATCTTTGGAACAATTCTGAATATGAGAAAGAACACTGACATGGGACCCCTAAGGACATATTCCATCTTAGTGACAACATTAATGTGTACCCTGTTTGCTAGACACTTTACTAAATGTGATGTAAATACATAAAAATAAAATACAATCTTTTTTTCTTTTTCTTTGTGGTACCAGAGATCAAACTCAGGACCTTGTTTTATTCTACTGTGCTATCTCCCCAGCTCTAAAATGCTATCTTATTAACACTGTACACACTTTAAAATGTCTGTAAGAAAACATGAACAGAATGGAAAATAACTATTGTCAATGAAAAAAGTATTCTACTACTTCTTTCATTGACAATAGTTATTTATACTTAACTAATAGTTATTAACACTTAACTATTCTGATTATCACCAGAGTTAATTTGCATTGCAGTACATTACCCAAAGTAACTAAAATTCTTTGTGTGTGTGTGTGTGTGTGTGTGTGTGTGTACTCTGTGAATGTTCTGAGGGATTATACCCAGAGCCTTATACATGCTAGGCAATTATACCTGTAGGCTTTAAATTCTTGTCATTTATTAAATATTATATGTATAAGATTTTACTTACATTCTCTCATTTAATACCTATAATTTCATTTCAGAAATAATAAAACTGGAATTCCTCCACTTTAGAAAAATGACCTGCCCACGTGTGCCAGTTAAGAAGTGTCAATTCTAAAATTTGTACTTGGGCTTGGCTGAATCTAAAACATAATCTCAAACAATTTCTTACCAAAAGACAACCCTCTTAAAAGAAGACTGTCAGTAACTTAGTTTGAAAACTCAGCACAAAGCAACTCGATCAGCTCTGTATCAGTGTTATCAAGAATGTGAATTTTAATCCTGGGAATATAAATTGCAATTGATGGCACAGTTTTCTACTTTACCTTTGCTATTGGCTGCCTTTAACACCAACATTGTCAGACCGCAGATTGGCTAACTATAAATCACCAAGATAATTTGCAAGCCTTCAGGTAACTTTAAACATTTTCTGACAAAAATGTATCACAACATTTATTAAAAAGTGCATTTTCTTGTACTTAAGTACAAAAGTGGCTTCAGCAAAAGTGAAAACCAGGTGCTTTCACCAGTAGGCTGTTAATGTTTGAATTCAAATGTACAGAGGAAGAAAACTAAGTGAAAAGTGCAGTTTAAGAAAAACCCACACAAAGCCACAAAATACTTGAATTTCATCATAACACTAGACAAGACAGAGAAGAAAAAGAAGTAAAAAGAAAACAATGTTCATCATACTAAGAAGTTCAAGGCCCCTTCTTTCATCTTCATCTTCAAGCCCAATAGTATGACATCTTCCCATCTTTCTCTCCAATCCTGTTTCTGTTTTTGTATTTTCATCTCTTACTTCTCTGCCCCTACTGTCTTTTCATTGCAAGGATCCTTATGATTACTCTGGGCCCACCCAGGTAACTTACATGGAGGGGAGATTCGGATGTAAACATCCTTGGGGGACCAGTATTCAGCTTACCACGGTAAAAAAGTACAAAATAAAGGGTCATGACAAATTGATATAGGCAGCCAACTTGATGGGGTTCCCACTGGCCAAATTAGGCAATCTGAACTCAAAATTCAATGTGATATTTAATGAGTTATAATCTGCTACTAAAATAAGAACCCATGACCCCACACAGATTAAATAAAGAAGACAAGTTCTCTTTTCTGGTAGAATGACAATAAACCAAAAGGAAAACATAATGGAAATAGAAAAATCACACTTGACAACCATCATCATAGTAGCTAGCTCAGACATAACTGTTGTAACTTGTTTGCTGATATACTTCTCGAAGACTCATGCACTAACACGTAGGGCTTTCTGTAAGTGGTTGGATCCAGGGTGTGTGATAACTAAATGAGTTCAGCACAATCCTGGGTGTAGACAATGAAAGTTCTGCCCTCAGTGTGGGTGGCTCTCAACAACAGGCTTATAGCCTGGATGGAATATAAAAGGAGAAAGGGAAGGCAGGCTGGCTACTGCTTCTCTGCTACTGTTGCCTTCCGTCTTTCGTGCTGTGAACTGTTTCTCACCAGTGATGCCCCTCTGCCATGGCACCCTTCCTTGGAGCCAGAAGACTATGGACTGAAACCTCTAAAATAATTGTGAGCTGAAACACATCATTCCTCCTTTAACTTTTGGGTATAGGGTATTTTATCCCACCAATGAGAAAAGTATAAAGACAGGAATCATCAATGAATGATACAAATTTGGTGAGAAATGGGATACTTGCATTGTTTTGGGAGGATTTCCCATAAATTGTTCATTAGTTACAAAATGAAGAAACAATGGCAATGTTGTAGGGAAGAAACCTGCAGGTCACTATCCTTCAAGTTCGCATGGACATGATAAGAATACTGCTTTGTGGCCTGACTCTGCACATGAGGAAAAAACAGTGAATCTAGATGAGAGATATGTAACACAAAGGCAGGCCTTTCCCTTTTAAACTGATGGAGGTCATCAAAGCCACAGGAACCTGGGAAATTATTTCAGGTTGAAGAAAGTGGAAATTCATCAGTAAATGTAACTATGATTCTGATTAAATTTTGGTTCAGAAAGGAAAGAAGAGATACTGGAAGGGGGGGCAATTCCAGGGGATTAGTAATGAGGTATATTAATGGTGTGAATAACTGCATTCTGGAGAGGAAAATGGTGGAAACAATGCAAGTCGCAGAACAGTATACATAACTGTTTATAAGATATAAACTACATTTTAAAATTAACTATTTTTGCAGTATGGGAATCAAAACCAGGGCCTCTGCACTGAGGAACACCACCAGGTTTTGTTTTTTGTTTTTTGTTTTTTTTTTTGAGACAGAGTCTCACTAAATAGCTCAGGCTTCACTCTCAGAGTGCCGGGATTACAAGCATGTATTATCACATACAGCTAAAACTACATTTTTACACGATTATATAAACAGGGCAGTGTCCTTGTTTGGAGAAAATAATATACACTAGTGATAAATCTATGATATTCTCTCAAATATTTCTGAAAAAGGATAATCATAATGGCTAAGAGAAAGCAAACATGTAAAATGTTATCAACTGGGGAACCTGGGTGAAGTTTGGGGACTCTATGCTGTTCTCACAAGTCATTCTGTAAATATGTTTAAATATGAGTATGTGTGATGAGTTTTCTGAATACCAAACTTTTGACTTCATATGTTCCAAACCTAAAGGATTATAGTTGGTATATAAATGTTATTAAAAGTATACATCTGAATGCATTATCATAACAGATGTGAACACAAAAAATCAAAGTAAAAATTTCCTCAAACAACATGTTTCCTCTTATCAGTCTAAGGATTTATGAGTATGCTTCTAAATCTCTACTGTCAATAGTTACAGGTATTTATATATACATAAAGTCTTATGCACAAATGCAACTGATGTACTACATATATTATTCTTTACATTGCTTTTGACTCACTTGAAAATGTATCAGAGGCCTTGTCTCATCACTATGTTTGATCCGATTCTGACTTCATACTTTTTTGGTTGCAGAGTACTCTATAATTGGTATAACAGAATTTGTTATCATTCTATGCTCAACTTCTTTCCTTTCAATTTCTTAAGCAAACGTTAACAATGCTGAATATAAGCCTTTGTCATCATTCCCTGCATATATAGGAGCATTTTTGTCCCATTGGTAGGCAGAAGGTGCCATGAATTTCAAATGCTTCAATTAGCCTCCATACTAATTATATACCAATGAACATAATTATTAATTAGTATTAGTACTAATTAATTAGTATTAATACCAATAGATTGTATTACCAATGAGCATATATGAGTACCATTTTACACATAGGCCTACCAATAATGAACAGCATTAATTTCCCTAACCCACCCAAAAAAAACCTATAAAAGAAAAAATTTCAAAAAAACCTTTTGTGGAATGTGTAGAACACATTATATTTTAAATTTCTATGTTATAAGTAAAGATCTTATCACGTGTTAATCATTTGTGTTTTTTTCCTTCAGAGAAATGCCTACTCAGATTACTAGCTTATTCAAGTTTTTAGTATCTTGTAAGTGCTTCTTCTTCACTGTATAAATGACAAACACTTCATTTCTCTTTAAATTTGGTTTTCAGTTTTATTGTCTTACAGAAGTTTCATATGGAAATTTAGCCAGTTTTGGTATGCTGCATTTGTTTCCTAAGGCTGCTGTAACAAAGTATCACCACGTGGATGGCTTAAAACCAGACACTGACTCCTCACAGGCTTGAGTGTGAAAGCAAGGTGCACAAGTGCTGTTTCTGAAGGTGCTGACATCTCGCAGATTCCTGGCTCCTGGAAGTCACTGGCAACCAGAGTGTTTTCTGGCTTGCAATGGTGTTGCTCCAATCTCTGCCTTCATTGTCTGTGTCTACATCCAAATTTCCGTCTCCTTATAAAGACGTCAGACACAGGATTACAGAACACCCTGAGGATGAGCTCATCTACAAAGACCCTATTTACATAAATAAGATCAAATTC